CACAAACTCAAGTGATGTTTTCGTATAAAAACAGCAGAGACCCAAAGGCGCTGGGAGACCCATAAGCGCCCCCCTAGAACGCATCGGATGCAGAGACGCGGAGAACATGGTCAGGGCTGCCCAGAATACCGAGCCGACACCAAGTGACGAACAGCAGGGAGGGGGCATCAGAGCCCCCCCCCCGCTTTTCCTGAGCAGAGGTGACAGAATGTCAGGCTCAACGAATGGAGCAAACCGTGCGCAAAGATGAATGCTGCTCACTGGCTTATGAAGGGGCGGGGAATTATCAGGCCCCTGCTCCCGCCCCCCCCCCTCGCCCCCAAAGTCCCCCGTGCTGCGGCCCACATTCCTGTGAAAGGAACACCATCACCGGCAGGGAGGAGGGGCAGGGTTGGAGGAGGAGAGACCCCAGAAGGGCTAACAGACAGGAGCTGGAAAACAAGATCACAAGGATTCACTTTGATCCAGCCGTCACAGGCTCAGCGAGGCCAAGAACACGCCTGGGGGGTGTGGCAGCCTCCTCCATGCTGGGACGGAAAACAGAAGGATGGAAAATAGGAGGGAGAAGAGAAACTAAGAGAGGTAATAGTAGGAAGGAGTACAAAGCCCTCCCTGGCATGAAAGGCTTCACGTCGGGCTTCTGGACCTCCAGCACCGGACCCCGTAACCTGCACCGATACAGCCCGTCCACCCTCCCCTCTGAGCACCCAGGGAGGGGGAACACCACCTAGAGAGCTTCCACGGGGGAGCCCGGAGTTTCTGACACCTCCAGACTCCAAAGGACGCGTCTGCCAGAAGCTCGTGGCATCAGGGAACCATGAAGCAAGAGGGTGAAAGCAACCTGAAACACTGACTCTGCGGCCAGGACTGAGCGATAAAGTATTAAATTCATCGCTTGAGTCCCCGGCGTGATAGAACTGCCATTCCACCTGGTCCATCCTGTAAAAGAAACCGGACAGAGGAACATGGAGGAGGCAAACAAACACAAGGTGAAGATATTAGCTCCACACTGAGCTGTGGGCGGGAATCAAACCCACAACCCAGGAGTGTGAAGTAACAGTGCTACCAAGAAATATATCACTGACATACACATGCCTGCACTGTACTCCATCATGGATCTGAGCAAGGTCACTGTGACCTTACCCTGAACCAGAAGAAGCTTATTTAGACGGCTCAGTGAGCACTGTCCAATCATCTCTGTGAGCAAAAGGTGGGGAATCTGTCATGGAGGATGGACTGTCTCGAGTGTCTTTTTTTGTTATGAAAATCAACATATGCGTTTTAACTCAGTGCTCAGTCCAGGCAGTGACACCAACACGTTTCATATGTATTCCTACTACACTCTCTAGAACTATAAATACGAACAGTTTCTGTGAATTAACATTTCAAGGTCTGTGCATAATTACAGTCCGTGTGTATTTCCTATATTTAGACCAAGATGCAAGGCAAATGTCACACATGCTAATATGCTAATATGAAACTGTGTGTGACACACATGGGGTCTCCCGTGTCCCACGTGCCTGGTTCTGCTGGGGGGGGCAGCAGCTCCCCACGTCTGCAGTAGTGAGATAAAGAGCTTCCTGTTTGACTATTACTCAGCAGAACCACGCACCGCTGAGGAGCGATTAATCGTGTTAGCGGCGTAGGGGTATCCATGCAGCCGCCAGCCAATGGGAGCTCTCTGTGGACTGTCTGCGCGCCCCCACTTCCCTGCCTGCTAATTCATGCACTAACTATACAAACCAGAGCCACCCAGCTTCCAGAAACTCTGGCTTCTAGGACTTGAAGCCTGTTTCACAAAGCAGGATTTCTTGCTTAGCCGGATAACTTGTCAGATTTAAGGTAGTCTGGGCTAAATGTAATTGAATGAAGATAAAGGCCACTTAAACTGGGCTGCCTTAAATTCAACAAGTTTTCCGGTATGTAAGAAATACTGTGAAATTTTGTGAAGCAGGCCCTAGGACATGATGATCAGAGCCTGCGTGATTGACTGGTGCCACCATTTGTGTTCCATATCAGAAAAGAGTTAAGTGACCTTAATAGTGACTGATGACATGTGACATGTTCCAGCTCACTTCCTATTGGGTTGAACCAACCAGGGGGCGGAGTCCCATAATAACACCATCTC